TGGAAAGGGTCAATGCGGAGAAAAAGGGACATCTGTAATATTTTGAACAAAAAACAAGCACACACACACACAAATCCCCTCAGAAACAGCACTGATCCTCCAAAAAAATGGAGGTTGAGGGGCCAAAAGCATAAAAAGGCAATTCACAAAATATCTAATCCATAATGACAAACACAAAAATGACCAAACTCAGTCAGAAGTAAGTAAATGTAGATTGAAATGAAATACGGTTAATTTTAGAAATCAGGTTGGTAGCGGTGAGGTCTAAGCTAGTGTAGGCGCAGAGGTGGGCCGCAGGCGTCTCCCACACCGCGAAGGGAGCGCGAGTGGCGCGGCCTGCGGGGGGCGACCGCAGTGACGGGTACCGAAGGCCGTCGCCCGTTCTCCTGACCGTTACGATCCTAGGAAAAGACTGCAAATAAGAAGTCGTAGCCACGAGGATGTTTCACAGCATTGTCTCTGATACTGAGAAGCAGGAAACAAATCACATGTTTAACTAATAACAGCTTGCTCGCACTAGTATTAGTGGAGGAAAGGAGGTTGAATTGTATAGCATTATCGTGTGTTTTTGTAATTAGAAAATAAGCCAGCTTACAACACCTCTAAATGCTTGCATGCACTAAACATAAACAGAAGGGCATATACTAAAGGGCTGGGGTGTAGGACTTATTTGCTTAGTCTTGCTTATCAAGACCTATGCTTTCTAAATAAAAAGATGCCATTTTATAATAAAAGAAAAATAGGCTGTTTCCTTAAATTGCATTTAGGTTCTCTCATCGTTTTCTCCCACTTCTCTAGCTCGGAAGCCCACGGCTGCTGGAATTGTACCACAGTCATGCACCCCCAGCTGCCAGTAGTCAGCCAGTGTTTGCCCAGACCTGTTTCTTCCGTATCTTTCCTTATCATTTTTGCTGTATAGCACTTTAGATATTTGTGGACAGTTCGCTGAAAGGGTAAAAGAGGTGAATGTCAAGTGATTCCATTCTTCTCTTGTACTTTTATACTTTCCCTACATGTTGAACCTGTAGTTAATATAAAATATTTGGATAAGGTTTACTTACATGTTCCCTGTAATAACCCCTCCTTCCCATCTGCTTTAGGAGGGAAAATTGTGCTTTTTTTACTCTAAAATCGTTCTGCTACAAGATTCCTGTGGAGATTCAGAAATCTGTTATTGCATTGTATATATTAAACACATATAATATCCTAGATGTAAATATATATATTCAGCTCTTTTTATTAATTCATTTTCATGCTCCCTTTGTGTTCCTTCAGTGTGTAGAAGAAATAACCTTTTGGAAGTTAGGGCCAAGTTAGTATAAAATGGTTAAACAGGAGAGAACATTGAAGGAGGAAGGTGTTCTGAAATCTAAGATGTATTTTTTACATAAGCCAAATTCAGATTTATAAATCATAAACCTGGAGGCTCTTACTTGCTTTGCCAGAAGATTTACCTCACATTTCTTCCAACATCTAGACCTTAGAGTACGTTCTAAATTTTCTGCCCAATTATAAAAATGTGACTAACTTGTTTGAAACTATAATCAGTGTTCTTGGCTTAAAAATATTTACTTAGTCTTCTGGGGCTGTAACTTTTAGGTGAAATTCTATCCTTTTTTCCTTAACCTTAATTCAAAGTGAAAGTCATTAGTTATGCTAACATCTTACCTCACACTCTCAGACAGTGACGTCATCTAATTCTCAGCTTAACTATTCGGTAAGACTGAGCCTGTGAGCAGCCAGTAGAGCTGGGAGTAGGAATCAGCAATGGGAATGCAGATGTTTGTGGAATCGTAAATGTTGGTTGTAATTAACTCAGTCCCCAAAACGACCTAAGAAAATCCCAGAGGTCACTTACCTGTTCTTGAAAGCCAATGAAGAATAGGTGGCCAGCGAGCCCTTTTCCTCCTGGGTTCTCAAAACCTTTGACTTCCCATGCTTTGAAATGTGTGCAGTCTGAACCTCCGTCACACCCACGAGGCGTGTGAACTTACTGCCGGGTGTGTCCCCACAGAACGCCTTGGCCCACGAGGAGCTCTTGGTTGCGGTGGAGATGCTGTCTGCTGTTGCCTTGCTAAACCAGGCCTTGGACAGCAACGACCTCGTGTCTGTGCAGAATCAACTCAGAAGCCCAGCAATAGGCTTCAACAATCTGGACGAGACGTATGTGGAACGGTAAGAGATTTTCCAAAACTCTTTCCAGTGCAGAAATGCGTGTTTGGCAGATCTCACAAATACAGGATTTGTTACTTACTGAAGAAATCCACATATCCATGCTCATTTTCTTGAAAGCTAGTCTACTTTAAGAGTCTTTCTGATGTTATAGTTTCTTCTTTACAGTATTGCTCTTAGGGAAACAAAGAACCCGAAAATGATCATCCTATGGGAATTGCTGACTGACTTTATCATTAGCAAAGATTATCTGATAGGCTAAAAATAAAAAGTGTTGAAAACATACCTTTTCTATACTTCCTTTTGGCTTCTTTTGGAGATGACAAAGTGTCGAAAAGTTGGAAGCAACTTTAATAATCATCCTGTCCAATTCTCTTATGTTACTGATGAGAAAACTGAATCTGGATTTATTGACCCAAAGTTTGGCAGTTAGGTCCCCAAACCCATTTTTCTGATTGTTAAACCAAAGGAATCTTGAAACCACAGTGGATCATGGTGCTGGTAACAACCTCAGTTTATTATTTTTTCATTTTGTGTCCCTTAAATATGCTAGTAGGTACTACAATTGATAGTATTATAAAACACTAGAGCAGATCTAGAGAGAAAATTAAGGAGCCCAATGAAAGATTCAGGAAGACAAAAGCCCGTCAAAACCCAGTGATTTTCCGTCCTGTGACCACCAGGGGGAGATGTCTGCTTAGCTCTTGACAAAAACTTTTCCGATACTGAGCCTGGAACTGCTCAAATAAGTAGGTTGAGTAATTCTCCTGCGTCACATACAGTTGTACAGGAAAAAATTTTTTTTAACTTCTTAGAAGTTTAAAAAATGTTGTTTGACCACTTGTCTATGTAGAGAATGTCCCAAAAGTAGTAGGGCAGTGGGCTTTCCTTGTTTTCAGTCTTCTTGGAGAAACTGATGCTCTTATACAACATAAATGTGGCACCTGGTTCATATTATGCCTCAGTGTCTCTTTCCAAGGCTATTTATTTCTACTACCACTGTTTCTATTAGTGTCACCGCTCTCTCCTCCAAGCTTAGAAACCTCAAGTTCAGCTTAAGTTTCCCTCTGCCCTCTGCCAGGCACCCTCCTGTCGTCAACAGCCCTCTCTTCTCTCCCTGTCGGTAGCCAGTCTGTGTGCATCACACCTCTGCAAAATGCCTCCATTTCCAGAGACCACCTCGTGTGGGCTTCTCGCCTTGGCTTCTGTCGTAACCTCCAGATTGGTCTTCCTGCATCTTCTCTCTCCTCATTCTTACCAAGCCAGGCTTTGCTCTGCTCCCTCTTCCTGCTGGAGTGGAAGACAGAGCTGCTCCCTCCCTTAGGAAGCCTGACGGTCTAGTGGGGCACTAATGGGGAATCTTACAGAGAGAACTGTCGAGACTGTCCCACAGATGTAGCATCCCTGGCCACTGCCCTCTAAATGACACTACCCCCACCCCAAACCACCCATTTTATCAACAGTCCTCTCCCACATCCCATTAGAGAACCACTTTTATACCTGTGGTTTTCATCTGGGGCCTACAGATACAACTTCAGAGTTAGAATATTCTATATGAGGAACTTAAATTTTGTGTGTTTCAATAATCTTTTTAAAAATGTGAGGGGCCTCAGTGCCAACCCTGACGTGTGGCACCACGTGACACAGCGCACTCCCCGCTCGGGTACGCTGTGCCCAAGGCTGCGGGTCCCAGGAAGGAGAGGGGGCTGGGGAAGGCGGGGTGACCCGCGAGCACCGAGGCCCCAGAGGAGGATGCCGTGGCTCCAGGTGCCCATCACATGGGCCGAGAAGGGCGGCGTGTCACCGTGGTGTGCGTGGCGGCTGATTATGAGCAGTCTATGCAGATGGCTGTGTGTTGGGAAGGTGAGAAAGTGACAGAAGCATCTTCAAACGGTTTTGTTGCTATTAAAATCAATACCAAAAGTGCAGTCCGCCGTGTTCACAAATCTGCCCCGCAGTGTGCGTTGCAGCCAGTTTCTCTGTTGGAGCCCATGGAATCCCCTCGGAAGCAATAGCAGGAAGTGTTTGTGCGGATGCGCTTGTTACCAGAATTCACCTCGTCCGGCAGATGCGCCCGTTCGAAGGGGAAACCTCAGTGGCAAACGGCAGCCGGTCAGCAAGTTCCGTCTCTACTCCACCCACCCATCCAGACCCAGCGACACTCCTGAAGACTCCCAGCCTGGAAATGCGGAGCCTGGTGAGACACCACCCTCCCCTGGTACGGAGTCAGAGTCTGCCCCAGGAGGCTCACCGGGCCATCCACTCCATCTCGGGAGCCGAGGGGATGGCCGAGTCGGCCTGCAGGGACCCGCTCGCCGTCAGTGGGAAGGCCAACCGAAAAGCATGAAGAAAGGAGAGGAGAGAAAAGGAGAGAGGAAGAACAGGCAGGCTAAGAAGGAAAGTGAGAGGAGACCAGCTGGAAAGGAAATGTTGGATTTTGAAAGAAAGCACGAGGAGGAATTCACAAAAAGAATGTTAGAGGAGAGGAACAGAAAAGGCAGAAAGATCAGGGCAGCTCGAGAACGTACAAAACAGCAGATTGCATTGGACCCCGAGGAGAGAGCCCGTTTTGCAAGGACGGGAAGAAGTAGAAGCTGCTAAAACTGCCGCCCCACTGGCGAAACAGGCAGAAATGGAAGCCAAGAAGGACGCTCCTGTAGGAGAGGGAAGCACAGTTGCAGGGGTTCAGTGTAGTCTCCTGATGGTTCTTCCTTTACAGATCAGCTCCCTGCTGAGGCTCCTCTAGACGAGGCAAGGCAGTGTGCTGCACACTGTTGGCAACGCTCATGGTAGCTTCTCAGATTGTAGAGAAACTACTGGATTTGGAACTTGCCCCAAGTGCTTCAGTGCTGCTCTTGCCAGCAGGAAGACCAGCTAACCCCTGGCACATTCTTCCAGTGCAGGCTTTTGGACATTGTTGGGGACAGAACCTTACCTTTCCTTGCCATCCGGAGATTGATTAGCAACTTCTTATTTAGTAATCTTCCCCTGCACAGACCCCAGGGAGAGCAGCATCTTCGGAACCCTCAAACCTGCTTCCTCTAGTGATCCAGAAAAAAAGGGAATCAGAAAGAGAGTGCTAGGGGAATGGGGTGAAGACTTTAAAAAGGAAGGGAAGATATTAGACTCAAGATGATGGTGAAGATGAAACCACACTTGGAATGGAAATTTTACTCAACAGATGTGGTGTGACAAGTGCGTTATATGCAATAATAACTGTTTCTCTTACTGATTTAATTCAACTAAAATTCTGCTGGAGAGGTGGGACTACTTTATGTTTTCTTACCAATCTATAAAGTGTCTCTTTATTCCTGCTATGTGGGTCAAAGTTCTTTAACTCAGGCAAGTCAAGAGATAAAATAACTCGCTGCTAGGTCCTTGCATATGGTAACCAACTGCTAGAAGCCTAAAAGAATCAAAAGATTTGCCACAACCTCCCTTTAGCAGCTTTCTTACTCAGTATTTCACATTCCCATTAGCCCTGTGCTTTCAGATAATGCATTTTGTTAGATAGAGCTTTTTTGCACCAGAACTCCTAAGCCCACACAAAGTAACTGGTATGTCACTGAGCAATTTGACTGAGTCAGAGCTTTTTAACTAGCCAATCAGATGATTTATGTTTAGTTTTTCTCTTTCTGCGCATCAGCTGCAAGCAAATCTTGTAGTTTTTTATTTTAAGCACTGAATAAAAAATCTTCCCCAAAATTTTTTTTAAAATATCTCTTTATTGATTTCAGAGAGAGGAAAGGAGAGGGAGAGAGACAGAAACATCAATGATGAAAGAGTCATTGATGGGCTGCCTCCTGCACGCCCCCAACTGGGGATTGATCCCATAACCTGGGCATGTGCCCTGACCAGGAATCGAACCCCGATCGCCTGGATCCTAGGTCGACCCTCAACTGCTGAGGCATGCCCGGCTGGGCTCAAAAAATTTTTTTTATTTAAGCATTTTCTGGGTCACCTGGATGACCCAATACCAACATGAGATTTCAGGGCCCCCTTTGGTTCTTGTGTTGACAGTTGCATTGGCCTCGAGTGATCTGCCGTAGCCTCAGCATTTTACTTTTAGTGTCAGCTTTTAACCCAGGTTCTTGAAGCCCATGTTTACAGATTTTCAAGTTTAAGAAACTGCTGGATCTGGGCCACTCGCTATGGCTGTGCAAGTTCATAGTACAGGAATGTGGGCAGGGCCACCTCGATGAATTCTTACAACGTCTCTATTTATCATGGCTTCTACCATTGGGACTATGTTTTCCCAGAAAGGTTCTTTTGTCTAATTCTTACAAAAGTGATGTAGGGTTGGCATGGCTCTAGGCATATGCTGTTCCCAGGTTAATTGTTCTAAAATGTAGCCATGTTTATTATGCTTCTCTATTTAAATGTTCCCAGTTCTCTTCTGAATTAAGAACAGACCTTCTCTACACGCATTGCTCTGCCCTTAGCTGCAGCTGCATCTTTCCTTGTATTTTGCCCTTCAGCCAAGCTGGGTCTGAATGCGCTGTGTCCTTTCTGGCCTGTCTGCTGCTATGCATGCTCCTCTCACCACCAGGAAAGTAATGCCTGCCCGGCACGGTATTGGAGCTTCCAGGCCCTGCCTGCCATCGATTACACTTTCATGAGTTATGTCCATGCTTCTCCCCACCCCTGCTAATGTCATCTCTTCTGAGAATTAACATGATGTGGTTAAAGGAACATAATCGTGGAGGGAAAAATAAAATTTTGATTCTGCCTAGTGAAGCCCTTTTCTCCTCATCTATCCGTCAAGCACAAAAACATAACAAAAACATGTACTCTGCATTAGCAAAACAGTTTTGAGGATTAAGTGCTTGGTTCAGTGCCTGCCCGGGCAAGGCACTCCACCACTAAGATTTCCTTCCACTTCTCCTCCCTTGGAACCCTGTTATTTCTAGTCTTATGGACTGTCCCTACTTTGTGGCCCCTCTGCTCTGCTCTTACACCCTTCTGGAGTTTCTGTCATCTTGTCCACTAGACTGAAAGCTCCTTGAAGTATAAAGGCTGAATCTTGTTCATTTTAATATCCCTGTGGTGCCTGCCGCAGGTTTTGTATGTAGTAAGTGCTTAATAAACATCTGCTGAACTAAGTCGGAATTTTAATCTCAAAACTTCCCAAGTCTGTTAGAAATACAATGTTACTAGTGAGCCCCGTGGCAGGTGACGAGAGATGGAAGGACAAGGACAGGGACTTTTTTGGGTAAACTACAGAGTGTTTTCCAAATCTGATGCTTTTAATACTCAGAGAAGTCTGTGGCGCTCTGTGTGTTACCCCTAAAATCTGTTCCCTTTCACTAGTGTTTGCTCGTTTCTAAAGAAATGATGGGTGATTGTGGGGGGGTTTTCTGTGTTTATCCTTAAGCTCTCTCATTTTATTCCCTCTGGACCATCATTTAGATGTTAAGCATGTGAAATGCCCATAGGATTTTGCACTCTGTTAGAATGGTCCTATCTATAAGGGGTGCTAAGCAATACAAGTCACCAGTTATCCATATTGCTGTTATGGTCAGTATTCGGTATTACCAGTGACACAGCATCTTCGTAGGTTTGTAGCGCGTGGTAAGAGGAAACTCTCCCACGTGACAGGTGACCAGTTTCAGGCCCCATCTGGTGGTGCCTCATTCAGCCAGTTAATGACTCTTCCCCACTGCTTCCTGTTTTGAATGTTTTTCTCTCTCAAGCTGCTGTCTGTGGAAGACACCTCAGTGTCACCTGGAGGCATGCAGAACTGTAAGAAAATGTCACGACAGGAAAACAGTTTTAGACTTAAAGTGATGTTAACTCTTTTAACCCCTGTTAGGAAATCCACAAGTGCTATGGTTGTAACATTGGTTCTATAATTTTTAAACAGGAAAATTATTGACAAATGAAAGTTTCATAGTGATATATCAAGATGGAATTTTCCCCCCCAAATTTTTCCAGACAAGAAAAATAATTGGAGTGATGGACCAAACTCTGTTTTCCAGAGGGCTCTGCAGAGTGGGGAGGGTCACAGGTCAGGAACCAGGTGTGAGAGTGCCGTGGCAGGGAGGGGACACGAGAGGTTTTTGAGTAGCTGCTGTTAACGTAAGAAATCATTCAAACCTGTGAAGAATTTGGGGGAGTTTATTTGAGCCAAACTGTCAATAGTTGCCGGGCAGCCAAAACCTCAGTGGACTGAGATAATGCTCCAGAGAATGGCAATTTCGCACTTTATTTTATACATTACAATCAAAAGAGGAGACCTGAGTGGGTTACGTGAAATTCACTGGTGGTAGATTAGGGAGGCGGGAGAAAGCAAAGCGGGGAAACCTCTGCAATTGGATACAAACTGAAATGATAGACACACTTCTTGTAGGTGTGTGCAGGATAGTTAACAGTCAACAGTTAACTCAATAACAATGAGGTGAGGAGGACTTTTAAGATATTCTGGTTCAACTCATGCACCACCTCTTTGAGCAAACATACAGTGAAGATGTGTGTTGTTTAGCAAGGTTTCTGGAACTGCAGTTACATTTTATTTGATTCCTCAATGTGCATATTAGATCTCAAGGTAGCCTAGCTCTGTTAGGGGTTATTTACAGCTCACACTTTGGGAGAAACAAGAGTAATAAAAAGAATCCCTGATGGAAGGGTTGAGAGCCATGGTCATTCCTGGCCAAGACATGCAAAAGGGAGGAAAATTAGTAATTAGGCAAAAAGCAAAATCACAGTTAAGAATATCTAAGTTTGTTTTTGTTTTGTATTGTTTTGCTTGAGTTAGTTACGAAGTTGGATTTTGAGGAACTTTCATTAAACAGCATTTGTTCATAAAGTATTTTTAAGAAAAAGAACACCATTAGTATAAACGAGCTTCCTGTATATTGGGGAAGCTGCAAGTGACAGTTTTTCTTGCCTTTCTCTTTGTCTAACCTCATAACAACTACTTTTGGCCCCTTGTGTCAAATTTAAGATGAACAAAGAATGAATGTCTCTGATCAGTGTCATGATTGTTGTCTCCTCCACAGGTACGCAGATGAACTATTCTCCACTAAACTGGAGGTTTTGTCCCAAGGGCAAGAGACCTTAAGCTGGAATGAAATCCAGAATTGTATTGATATGGTTAATATTCAAATTCAAGAAGAGCAAGACCGTAAGTGTGGAACACTTTGCCTCTAGTATAATGGAAATAAGGTGTCTGGACAATCAATTCTCTAGATTAGGGCTACAAGTTTTTACTCATGGAGCCCTATGAAAGCACACTCCCCTTATATGTGTGTATGAATTTATATGTAAATTATATGCCTGTACTACTGTATCAACATATTATAAACATTACAAAGAATGCATAAAAGACATGAAAGGACAGACTGAAAATACGTATAAATAGGGGTGTGAAGAGAGCAGAGCGCCTAAAGAATGGCTCTTCTGTGTATAACACATCCTAAATAGAAACAGGGATGTGCAGAGAGCAGAGTGCCTGAAGAATGGCTCCTCTGTGTATAACACATCCAACAAGAACTTGGGTTTACTCCTCATAGGTGGCGGATGCTCTCGCCTTCCTGTGACATTACACCCTACATGAAAAAAAAATAGAGGTCCTAATGACTTTCATTTATTGGTACTTCAGAGATGACTACTCTACCTAACTCAGTTTTTTAGGCACTCAACTTTATTTTGACCTTTCATTTGGGCATTTTCCTGAAATACAACACATTCCTGCCCTAGGAATAGATTGGAACATAATCTGTTGCTTTATAATCAGAAGTCATGGTAACTTGTTGTGTTTCTTGAGATTATGAACTATCAGCCCGAAAGTGGACAATCCCAAGAAGATATGCCCTGAAGCATGCTTTCTTGAGTGTCAGCTGCTTTTTTACCATTTCCCTTTTATGTATAAAAACAGCGAGGAATGAATGTCTAACTGTAGCAATCAATTATTCACTGCTTTTCTGTAGCATGAATTACCAAATTCAAGCTTTAAGCTCTTTTTCCATCATACAACCTAACAGCCCTGGTCGGTGTGGCTCAGTTGGTTGGGCGTCGTCCCACACACCCAAAGGTTGCTGGTTCAATTCCCAGTCAGGGCACATGCCTGGGTTGTGGGCTCGATCCCCAGTAGGGGATGTGCAGAAGGCAGCCGATCAGTGTTTCTCTTTCACACTCCCTCTCCCTTCTTCTCTAAAAATAAAAAATTAAAAATTAAAAAATAATAAAAATAAAAACAAACCAGCACTATCATCTTTGCTTTCTCTGAGCCTTTTGATTTGTCAGCAACATTGGATTAGGATTGCTAATGTTGTTGACCTCCCTTCCACCCTCTGGCTTTCACTTATTTTTCTAACTCGCTCTGAGTTTGCTGCTAGCGTAGGCAGATCCTTCCCTCACACATTTAGGTGGTTTTGTTCTAGCGTGTTTTGGTAAGGTCTTAGGTCTGGTCTTCCAGTGCTCTAACTTTAGGATAGTAAAATTACCCTGGAGATAAATGAATGACTTTGTTAATCGCATTTCCAGTTTTCTTCTCTCTTTACTATTTCCTGTGAGCACTTGTACCCAACATTAACGCAGGGTTTGTTTTTCTGTTAAACATCTCACTCTAGGCCCCAAGTAGAAAACAGCATGCAGGCGTGCTGCCTTGGCTCCTTGCACGTGGGTGTATCGCCACGACACTGACCCCTGGCGCTCTCTTCCCTTTGTCCTCAGGTTGTGTACAAATATGAATTTCCTCTTTTGCAGCCACAGCTTTCTGCTGCCGCTCTGCATTTCCTTTCAGTGAGGCATATAGGGTCCCTGTAATCAGATGGCTTACACACGGCCCACTAGCTCTCGTCTAGCACATTGGTTTGGGAGTTGGCGGTTCTTGCCAGATGTTAGTTAAGAGGGAAGCACTAACTTGAGCAGATGTTCAGCATGTACTGGTGAGGGAAGAAACACTGGTGTTTGTGTCCTGTTACAAAGCTCAGTGCCCCAGCCCTCTGCCTTCCTGCCTTCCTCTTCGACACCACCCCCAGCTCCACACTTGGAGTCTCCTGCAGCAATGATTTGGGTGCTTTGGCTAATGCCACCCAAGAGTAGGACTCCTCTTTGGGTAGGCAAAGCAAAGAATCATGTCTCATCTTTGTTTTCTAGCTTTTTCTCAATTCTTTCCTTTTTTTTCACTTAGACTTGGATGCTCTCTCTCTTTTTTTAAAAAAATATATCTATTGATTTCAGAGAGAGCTAGAAACATCAATGATGAGAAGAGTCATTGATCAGCTGCAGCCTGCAACCTGGGCATGTGCCCTGACCTGGAATCGAACCCTGATCGCCTGGATCCTAGGTCAATGCTCAACTGCTGAGCCACGGCCGGCTGGGCTTGGATGCTCTCTTGATTTCTCACTGGAAAGTTCACTTTTCCCAGTAGAGCCATAGAGGAGCATTATTTTTTTTCTTTTCTTTTTTAATCCTCACTTGATATTTTTCCATTGCTTTTTAGACAGAGTAGAAGGGAGGGAGAGATGGAGGGAG